GTCAGAAAGTCCAACAGCCAGTTGCACAGCGAAGTGTTGAGCCCCAGCTGGACCAGTTTGTGAATGAGCTGTTGAGGGATGATTGTGTTGAATGCTGAACTGAAGTCTATGAACAGCATTCTGACGTATGAACAGCATTCTGACGTATGAGAACTTTCACAAACTCTAAAAACATTTACACATGTGTTAACCATTATACAGTATTTTTGTTGTTTACTTGTTTGATTTATGGCTGTTTAACAATAATGCAAGACTGTTGGGGGGAAAAAAATAGTACTGCCACAGCTCTGACTTCCATGCATCAATGGTGGAACACATGAACCTCACTCCTGGAAGAGCTGGTGTTTGTGGACCAAGAAAATGAGTAAACATTTTGATTTTTTTTTCTTTTGTTGAAAGACTCTAAAAATAGTTACATATGTATTCACTGTGCTCCCGTACTTCTGTTATTTTCTTGTTTGATTAATGGCTGCTTAGCATTAATGTAAAAATGTTAGAGAAAATGCCATTGCCATAGACTCAGACTTAACCACATTCTACTATTTTTATTTTCTTGTTTGAATAGTAGCTGTTTAACAAATGGAATAATTTTTTTTTTTAAATGTAGTATTCACAATAAAATATGTGGTAAATTAGAACACTCTTCTTTTTACTTTAGTCCACAAATGTGTTATTGTTTGTGATACACGTGATTAAAACGTTTTATAGACGTTCAGGTCTGACTGGACCGATTTTGGACCTTTTTAGAACATTGGTCAAATTCAGATGTGCCTTTCACGATGTTGCACAATGGGTGTGTGATTATTTTATATGCAGGCTTATACTTAAATTATGCAGCAACACATCTTATAAACATCCAGAAGATGACACATTTAGACGTCCAGGGACGTGCAGAAAAGACGTGTAATTCACGGACAGAAGACGTCAAAGACGTCGGTTCAATTTTCATTTTGGATATATTTTTCAACCATGACGGGACGTGTCGGAGGGATGTCTTTTCAACGGTCATTAAACGTCCAAATGTTTGCTGGGTATATAATATTGACAGATATTGAACTTAAATATTGAATTTCCATATGGTAAAAATACACACTGATACGCCTATATGCGGCAAAAAGGCCTTTGTGCGCTAAATTTCGGACCGCTTGGTCTAAATCCAAATGTGTGTTGTTTTTTGTTTTAGGTTAGAAGACAATGGGAAGAATTGCCATCGGACTAACCACAGCTGACAACCCACGCACACACGGAAAGAGCGCCGCAACTTTACAATTGTTCAATTAAAATAAACGTATTTTGCTCCATACAACGTGTCTGTTGTCTTTGATTAGCCTAAAAGTAAAATAAAATGACATTCAGAGGACTTAAAGCGAAAGTCCCCTAAACGTCCCGAATGGCCGCTGCACGTCCTGTGAACGTTCCCTTGAACGTCTGCTCGACGTCAAGGGGACCCTACACACTGACGTCCAGGGGACGTTTGCAGAGGCCATTTAGGGGACGTCCTGGGGACCTTTTTTTGTTAGCTGGGTATGTATTTAAATGATGCATGAATGTTACCAAACACTATGACAGTGCCATCTCTGTGTGAGATATGTGATTGTTGTCATATTTATGTAAAAATCTGAAATACATGTTTGTATTAAAGTAAAAATGGATGATAAATACACCTTTCGTATGGAATTAAATAGATAATAAACAATATCTTGTTCATATTTATTTTAATATAAAAGCAACAGAACTAATATATCAGCTTAATGCTCATTGGTTTAGACCAGTGTTTCCCAACCGGGGTGCCGTGTAAAAAAAAAATAATTTTTAATATTTTTAAATTGCTAAAATATTCAAAAAAGCAGTTATTATATAATATCCATTTCTGATGTCGCCAATAATTAGAGATGCACTGAAATTCCGGCTGCCGAAAATTAGTTCACCGCTCAGGATTCACTTTCACGTGGTGTGATGCTCTGCGTATTATCCCGCTCTATGCGTATGCGTGCTCCGCTCAGTCGCTCACGGCCCATGTGAGCGCTCCACTCATATACCGTTCATGCTCATCGGAACAGCAAAGTCCACTCAAAAATCGAGCTGATAGGAAACATGTAGTACAGTATTGTTTCTGTTTGCAATAGCCCTACTGTGCTGTAACAAGGTGTGGTAAATGGGCAACCCTGGTAACGCTGCCCTCTCATTCATTGATCTGCTAACCGTTATGCTCATGTGTCCTCTGATAATAATAG